CCCGTCTGTGTCTCACCGCTCTGCTCGTGTGCTTCAGGCTCGGCTCAACTGCTCGGTGCCCGGAGACTCCTTCTTCTACTTCGACGTGCTCCAGTCGCTCACCAACGTGCTGCAGATCAACCAGAGACCCGCCGTGGTCGGAGTCTTCACCACTCAGGCCAACAGGTACGCCGCTGTGAGGGGCGGAGTCTGATTAGGCTCAGAGCTAATGTGTTTGGAGAAGGAGGTGAGAACGCTGTGGTGTGTTTTCGGGAAGAAGTCCTTGTTCCTCGGTAAATGTGTGGACACTCGGAGCGAGCGGGCGGGTTTTAGAAGATGAGTTATTGGGCCGTTATTTTGGGAAGGCGGGGCTTTTGGAGAGGTGGAGCTTTTCAGTGTTTGTGATGGAGGTCACACCTCTGAGGACGTGCTCTTGGATGAGCCGGGGGAAGTTCAGGAAGTTTAGGAGAGGGCGTCGCTGGGAGACTGGAGATGTGATGTGTTACTGGAATGTGATTGGAGGACCGTTTAATCTTGGGGCTGCATGACATCACACGAAATGACGCACGGTCATATGAGGCACCCAGAAGTCCCGCCCACCTGCTGTTTAAAACTTTTCAGGACGGTGGGCTTAAAGTGGGAGGAGCTTAAACAGCCTGTTTTATCCAGTGTCAGGTAAAGAAGGATTATTCTGAACTGTGATTCATGCAAAGCCGCTCTGGGCCCGTTAAGATGGGAGCAGCGTGCTGGTGTTGGGACCAGTTTCCACGTTTCGTTCCTGGATGTCTCCCGCCGCTCCCCGCCCACGTTTCTTCACAGACCTGTAGTACTCGCGGTGACTGACCCTCATTAGTCGCGGCGCAGCATTCGCCCTCTCTCAGCGAGCTGTCTGGATGATTTGAGTTTGGACTGAGTGGTGAGTCGGTGGCGTGCTACAGTTGGGGTTCGTGGGCTGAACTCGTGCTGTCTCTGCTCCATGAACGTCATTGTTGATGATGGTGTTTGTGATTGGTTGGACGGAGGTCTGCTGACTCGTGCCGTCCGTCTCTCTCCAGTATCCCCGGCTCGGCCATCTGTGCCTTCTACATGGACGACATCGAGAAGGTGTTCAACGGGAAGTTCAAAGAGCAGAGGACCAGCGACTCCTCCTGGACTCCCGTACCCGACGAGCAAGTCCCCAGACCGAGGTGAGGACTAAATCCCAGTTAGCTTTCAGTCCCGCTTACTTAAACCCAGTTAGCTTTCAGTCCTGCTTACTTAATCCCAGTTTGCTTTCAGTCCCGCTACTTAAACCCAGTTAGCTTTCAGTCCCGCTACTTAAACCCAGTTAGCTTTCAGTCCTGCTTACTTAATCCCAGTTTGCTTTCAGTCCCGCTACTTAAACCCAGTTAGCTTTCAGTCCCGCTTACTTAATCCCAGTTAGCTTTCAGTCCTGCTTACTTAATCCCAGTTTGCTTTCAGTCCCGCTACTTAAACCCAGTTTGCTTTCAGTCCCGCTTACTTAATCCCAGTTTGCTTTCAGTCCCGCTTACTTAATCCCAGTTAGCTTTCAGTCCCGCTTACTTAAACCCAGCTAGCTTTCAGTCCCGCTTACTTAAACCCAGTTAGCTTTCAGTCCCGCTTACTTAAACCCGGTT